GCAGTGAGTCAGGAAAAGCTTTCATCAAGGCTTGAGGTTTTATGCATCCTTAGATAAACTCATGCAGTTTGCTGCAATATGGATGGATCTGGACAGTATTGCAAAATTGGGTGAAATTAGCCAGAGGGAGAGGGGAAGACTCAAATGATTTCTTGTTTGTGGGGTATGTAGAAACCTTGTAGGGGAATAGCAAATGCCCAATGGCAGTAGAAATGAAAAGCAGGCGAACTGGAATTCAGTGGGAAGCTTGGCACTGGGGCAGGGGTGAGGAGGATAAGGTAGGGAAGGGAACACGAGGACAATGGGGGAAGAGGAAAGTGCCTGCCACAGAGGCAGGCTGGGGGCAGGAGGGAAACTGGGAACACTGATGGAGGGTACAAGGCACTGGTGAAGGGATCGGTGTTGGAACAACATAGACCTGCAACTTAATCATACATAGCTTTGTAACTTTGTAATTCGTGGTGATTCAATTTAAAAACAGAAAAAAATTTCTTCATAGTCTTGAGGTTTGAGGAGAAGTTATACAAGTCTTGGGGGGCAAGGGAGTTCCAGGCAGAGAGGGAAGCTGAAGGAGCATGAGATGTGAACCATAGCATTGCTGCAAACAAGTGGGGGATATGGTGATGATGCAGGCAGGGCTGGATCTCAGAGAAGCCTCTTGCATATTCAGATTTTATCATTTAACTACAATTGAAGGACTTTAAGCCAGTAGCTCATAAAAGGGGTTAATATGATTGATTTATGTGCAGAAAGTGAATTAAAGTGGGGAAAGTGAAACTAAAGTAGGGTTCCAATGAACATCGAGGTGCTCATATGACCAGGAGCATGCATTGTAGGAGATTTGAAAATTATTTTAAAATTCTGTGGTGCCTTAGTGGATAAGGACAGGAGGGGACAGGGGAGTGGAAGAAATAGAAATGACTCCCAGGTCCCCAGCTTTAGTAAATTGTGAGTGGATAGAGGAGAAGACATGAATGTGAGAGGCTGGAGAGATGGTTCAGTGGAGAGGGCATTTGCCTTGCATGCAGCTCACCCTGGGTTGATCCCCGGCAGCCTATTTGGTTTCCCAAGCCTCACCAGGGGATGATTCCTGAGCATAGAGCCAAGCGCATGTCCTGAGCACTCCTGGCTATGGCTCAACTTCCCATCTCCACAAAAAAAAAAAAAAAGCAAACAGCAACAAAAAGAGAAATGAATTTTTGAGTGAAGATTTGGAAGCACTGCTCTGCAATGCCATAGGAGTCATGAAGTGACTGAGCCCAGCTTGGAGGTCAAAAGAAAGTATGAGTGAGAGGGGAAGGTTTGGGCTTTAAAAATCCGGGTGGTGGCAGGTAGTATAGCAGATAGGGTGTTTGCCTTGCATGTGGCTGACCCAGGTTTAATCCCCAGCATCCCATATGGTCACCAGAGTACCATCAAGAGAAATTCCTGAGTGCAGAGCCAGGAATAACTCCTGAGCCTCTCCGGGTATAACCCCAAAATCTCCCCCCGCCAAAAAAAATCCAGGTAGAGTGGCAGTGTTGCACCTTGCTGCCTGCTCCTTGGCTTTCGACACTGTATCTTACTGATCCTTAAGAGTCCCCCACTTGCCTTATACTAATAAACGCTTGGTGAATGAAGTTTATGTACTGATTCTGATGACAAACCATGGAACAGGGAAGCAGGTATGATAGGAGTAGTGCATGGCAGGAGTCCCTGGGAGTTCTCTGTGTGGTCTCCTAGCAGAGAGGAAGGCAGGGCTAGGCCACAAACTCAGTCTCCACTAAAACTTAATATGAAGGTGCAGAGAGTTCTGAAAAACAACATCTCTTCTTGAATACATTCATTAATACAGCAATTAAAACCTGTGTTTCCTTGGGGCTGGAGTCACTTGCCTTGCACATGAACCACCCAGATTTGATCCTTGAACACAGAGCCTGGAGTAAGACTTGAGAATTACTGGATGCAACCCCCCAAAACAAAGAACAAAAACACTTGTGCTTTTTAATTTTTAAAATGGTTACTTAGGGGCCTAGAGGATGGCTCAAGGCCAGCCTTGCAAACAGGAGAACACAAGTTTGATCCCTGCGGCTGCCTCCATAAGTCCAGCACCATACCAGCAACTCTGCTGTCTGGGAGCCTGGTGACCATCCCTCCCCCGCACCTTCCTCTGTTTCACTTTTTCTTCCTGTTGTTAAATTTTTATTTTATTTGTTTTCTGAGGGGGAGAGGTGCACACTGTTGCTCCGGCTTGCTTCTGGCCCTGCAACCAAACCAGGCTGGTGGTGTGCAAAGCAAGTGCCCAGTCTGTTGTACTATCTCTCTGGCCTCTAATTTTCTAATTTTTTTCATTTTCATTTTTATTTATTTATTTTTGCTTTTTTGGGTCACACCCAATGATGCACAGGGGTTACTCCTGGCTCTGAACTCAGGAATTACTCCTGGTGGTGCTCAGGGGACCATATGGGATGCTGGGAATTGAACCTGGGTCGGCCGCGTGCAAGGCAAACACCCTACCCACCCAGCCCCCTCATTTTAATTTTTAAATTTCAAATGTGTGTTTGTTTTTGCACCACTGGATATGATCAGGGTTTACTCTTGGTCCTGTACTCAGTGATCACAGTTGGTGTGCAGGAGATTTGAGAAGGGATTGACTTCATGTCAGGCAAGCACCTTACTTCCAGAACCAGCTCTCTGGCCCTCCAGGTTTTGTTTGTTTAAATAGAGATAGCATGGTTTACAATTGTTCCCATATTATTATTTTATACTCTTTGTGATGCTTCACCACCCCCGTCACCTGATTGTCTGTGACCCTCCACCTATGATCCTTTGATCCTTTGTCCTATGATCCTATGTCCTATGATCCTTTCTTCCATACTTGTAGCCTTGGTTTGCTGTGCTATTGGGGATAGCTCAGGATCTGTTTCCACTGGGAACTGTCTCTTCCTTTACTTTGCTTCTTTATGATCCACATATGAGTGTAATCACCTGGTTCTTCTTTCTCCTTCTGACTCACTTCATGCCAAGCATGGTACCTCCAATGCCATCCAAATTACACTCTTGTTTTAAACCCTTGTTTAAACTCTTGTGTGCCATCTGTTCCCATGGCCGTGGCCAGTGTAGCAAAGTTCTTTGAAACAGTTCTTTGAAGCAATGGGGCACACTCTTGCCCTGCAAGCTGTACTCCCTGTTTACTGACCCAGTAAAGTCTTACCTAAAAGAAAGTCTGGTCACTGTGTACTGAAAACCATGTTTCCCTTTGGATTAGACATTCATTAATTTGCCAACACTCACCATTTTTATTACACAAGAAATCTATGTTTATTGCAATTGTAGGAAAAAATGTAAGAAGGAGGGATAAGCAACAATGAGAAAAACTATCTATGATTTCCTATCAATAACTATTTTAACATTTTTTGGCGACTGTCTTGTGTTTTGTCTCACTTGTTTTGTAGCACATCTTATTTTTACATCAATAAGTTAAGATCAACCACACAATTTTGATAGCTCCATTATAGAGAGATTATATTATAGGTAGCTATTACTCTACTTCTTGTACTGGACATTTAGCTATTACCAGCATTATAGATGTCTTCATACATGTACAATCTTATACAGGTGTCAGATTCTTTTTTTATGTTTTGGGGGAGGCTCTCAAGAAGTGCTCAAGGGGCCCAGGACCACACATGGCCAGGCTGATGATTCAAAACAAGAGCCAAAATTTGATGCTTATTTGACTCTGATTCCTGAGACTACCAAGGCCAGGAGCTTCCAGGGCTGCACTCTATAATGCTGGGAGTTGGGCGGCGGCGGCGGCCCAGTGATTTATAAGGTCCTCAGTATGTGATGTTAAACTACAGCTTTCAATGCATTTGGCATCCCACCATGACTCATCCTGCCCATGACAGCTCCTGGCTCTGGCTCCTTATGCGCCCTACCAACACTCCACACCCACCTGGTGCTGGGCAGCAACCTACTGTGGCATGACCGCCAGCATTGGCACAGTCAGATACAACATGTTCCTCCATACAGAAAATAAGGAGACACAGGGCATCAACACTACAAGTCACTGTGCTGAGGTGACAGTAGAGAATAGACCATCTGGATGTGGGTCCAAGAGGTTTCCTGGAGGAGGTTGGGTCAGAGGCAAGACCCGAATCAGAGGAAGGAACTGAGCTAAGAGCATGGAAGGAGGGAGCCAGGGGAAATGACCCTCCGAGCAATGTCCAGGAATGAGGAAAGAGCAAGAAAACCGATGATGCTGCACCCAAAGGCGTCTGGGAAGTGGGGACAGGAGGATGAGTGGATGGAGATGAGGCCCAGCAGGATGGTGGGTCTAGTCAAGGGCTCTCTGAAGCTGGAATAGAGAAGGAATCACTAAGAAAATGATGGTTGGAGGAATTGGTCAGGATGGGAAACAAGTACTGAAAGTAGATAAAGGACCAAACATAACCTCTCAGTGTCTGTATTGCAAACCATAATGCCCAAAAGTATATAGAGAGTATGGGGAATATTATCTGCCATGGAGGCAGTGGGAGGGTGGGAAGGGTGGGGTATAATGGGGATATTGGTGGTGGGGAATATGCACTGGTAGATGGATGGATGTTTGATCATTGTGTGATTGTAACTCAAACGTGAAAGCTTGTAACTATTTCTCACAGTGATTCAATAAAATAAAATAAAAAATTGAATTAAATTAAAAAGAGAAGGACTCTCTGAGCTGACCAAACAACTTCCACTATATCAGGAAACTGGGACCTCCTGGCTGGTCGAGATCTGGCCTGGTTATCTGTGTGGGGCCAACTCCTACTGACCCGAGTGCCCAGCACCCATGGGGCCTCAGGAGTCTCTGTCCCCTGTCTGACCTTGAGCAGTTCTGGAGCATAGGAACAAGCCCTGGACTTCCCTGGTGAAATAAAGGGATAAATTCAAGTCTTGATTCTGCATAGATCTCTAATGCATTTTGAAAGTGAGTACAGCCTTTGACATTGCCCTCTCCCGCACTCCACATTTTCTCCCAGAAAAGGTGGCTGTGAAGATCTTGGACAAGACCAAGTTAGACCAGAAGACCCAAAGGCTGCTGTCCCGCGAGATCTCCAGCATGGAGAAGCTGCACCACCCCAACATCATCCGCCTCTACGAGGTGGTAGAGACCCTGTCGAAGCTCTACCTGGTGATGGAGTACGCAGGCGGAGGGGAACTCTTCGGGAAGATCAGCACTGAGGGGAAGCTCTCGGAGCCTGAGAGCAAGGTGGTCTTCTCCCAAATCGTGTCTGCCGTGAAGCACATGGTGAGCCCGGGAGGAGCAAGTCTGGCTCCTGTCCTGCTGGGGCAGGGAGGGGGCAATTTCTGTTTGTTGGATTAAGGAAGGGAGAGGAAAGTGGACACTGGTGAAGGGACTGTTGTGGAAGCATTGAACGCCTAAAACTCAATCATGAATAGATTATTTTTTTGCGGGGGGGATGGTGGTGGTGATGTGGAGTGGAGTGGTGTCAGACACCATGACTTACTCCTGGCTCTGCACTCAGGAATTACTCCTGGTGGTGCGTAGGGAACCATATGGGATGCTGAGGATTGAACCTGGGTCAGCTGTATGCAAGGTAAATGCTCTCCCCACTGCACTAGCACTCCAGTCCTACATGAATAGCTCTGTGATTCACGGTGATTTAATATTTTTAAAAAAGAAAAATAATAAAATAAATAAAAAATAAAACACTTTTAAGTTAAAAAAAATAGATTTCCAAGGGACCCCAAATGGCTGTGTGTCTGCAAAATGTGTATGCGTATATGTATTTCATTGTCCTCTTCCCTTTCCACCGTGTCTTCCTCCACAGCATGAAAACCAGATTATCCACAGAGATCTGAAAGCAGAAAACGTATTCTACGCCAGCAGTACCTGCGTGAAGGTGGGCGACTTCGGATTCAGCACCGTGAGCAGGAAAGGTGAGATGCTCAACACCTTCTGCGGCTCCCCGCCCTACGCGGCACCCGAGCTCTTCCGAGACGAGCACTACGTGGGCGTCTACGTGGACATCTGGGCGCTGGGTGTGCTCCTGTACTTCATTGTCACGGGCACCATGCCGTTCCGGGCAGAGAACATGGCCAAGCTGAAGAAGAGCATCCTAGAGGGCGCCTACAGTGTGCCCCCGCACGTGTCCGAGCCCTGCCTCCGCCTCCTCCGGGGTGTCCTCCAGCCCAGCCCCAGTGAGAGGTTTGGGATCGATGCGATCATGAAACACGAGTGGATGCAAGGGGTGCCTTACCCTACCCCGTTAGAGCCCTTCCAGCTGGACCCCAGACACTTATCAGAAACCAGTGTCCTCAAAGAGGAGGAAAACGAGGTCAAAAGCACTTTAGAACACCTGGGCATCACAGAAGAGCATATTCGGAACAACCAAGGGAGAGATGCCCGCAGCTCCATCACAGGCGTCTACCGCATAGTCTTACACAGGGTCCAGAGGAGAAAGGCTTTGGAGAGTGCCCCCGTCATGGTACTTCCGGACCCCAAGGAAAGAGACTTAAAGAAGGGGTTCCGTATCTACAGAGGCATAAGACACACATCCAAATTTTGTTCGATTTTATAAATTGCACTAGACTGGTGGTGATTTAACCAAAATTGTTGCTGCTTTTAAACTTTTTCATGAACAACTTGGGTGAAAACATTTTTTGTAATTTTTAAATAAATTTAAATTTAAGAGATGCATTTACCCTCCCAAACTGTCTATTAGCTTAGACGGCAGCTCTGGTCTTGTGAGTGCGAACATCCATTCATCTTATCAAGATATTTATTTAGTACCTGCTCATGGGCTGGAGTGAAAGCACAGCGGGTAGGGCCTTCGCCTTGCACTCTGCTGCCGCGGCAAACCCACCAACCCTGGTTCAATTTCTCCACCCCTCTCTGAGAGCCCGGCAAGCTACTGAGAGTATTTCTGCCCTCATGGCAGAGCCTGGCAAGCTACCTATGATGTATTCAAACATGCCAAACACAGTAACAAGAAGTCTCACAATGGAGACATTACTGGGCCCACTTGAGCAAATCGATGAGCAACGGGAGGGCAGTGCTACAGTGCTACATGTGGCAGGCCCTGGTTAAGGATGCTGGGCAAACCACTGAGAGTGAAACAGGCCGAGAGGTCGAGAGAGAGTAGAGGGGTTTTGGCACTTACCTTGTACGCAGACTACTCCAGTTCAATTCCCAACACTGCATATGGTACTTGAACACCAGCAGGAGTGACCCCTAAGCACAGAGCCAAGAGTGAACCCTAAGTACCACCTGGTATGGGTGGCCTCCCAAAACAAAACAAAGGGCCAGAGGCTGGTACAGCAGGTAGGGTGTTTGCCTTGCATGCAGCTGAGCCGGGTTTGATTCCTGGCATCTCATAGGGGTGTGTGAGCACCAGGATTCACTTCTGAGGGTAGAACCAGGAGGAAGCCCTCTGCACTGCTGCGTGTAGCCCCCAGATCTAAATTAAAAAAAAAAAACTGTTTCTTATATTTAACCAAAAAGTATGCAAACCATAAGTATGCAATTTTCCAAACTGAAAAACTCATATGACCAAGAACAAGAAAGAAATATTGGGGCCTGAGAGATAGTACTGTCTTGCCATCACCTGACAGACCATGGTTCTATCCTGTACCCCGTATGGCCCCTGGAGCCCTGCCTGGAGTGACCTCTGATACAGATCCAGGAGTAAGATGTGTACAGTCATGTGTGCCCCTGCCACACCCCAAATAAAGTATGATGAAATGAAATGGTACAGTACTTACTCTTCTGTCCCAGATATTCTAGAACTGGACAGAGGTGCTAACAACACACACTAATATTTTGTTTGTTTGTTTTGGTCTATACCCAGCGATGCTCAGGAGTAACTCCTGGCTCTACACTCAGGCACAGCAGAGGGAACCCTATGGAATGCCAGGGATCAAACCCAGGTCAGCCATGTGCAAGGCAAGCAACCCTACCCGCTGTATTATCTCTCCAGCCCTCAACAATAACATTTTCAAGAAAAGCGTGTGGCAGTGATGGAGGTGATGTGGAGAAGCTGAAACAGGGGATCTGGGATCAGAGGCCACATAGCTACTCTTAGGGAAGGCCAGTTGGTGCAGGGGCCCTCTGAGAGCTGAGTGAGAAGCAGACTGACTCCTAACAATCAGACATGAGAGATTTGGGGGCAGGAGAATGTTGAGACAGGATCCCTCCCAAAGAGAGCAGAGACAAAGTTTTCTGCGCAGCACTGTTGATCTGGGATGTGACCCTAGATTGCAGAAGTGAGAGGCGGGATGGCGGGGAAGCAGAAAAGCCATCATGAGCTGACCGGTGACCAGTCCCAAAGGATTCCCTGAGAACTTTAAAAAATACTTCCAGGGGCTGGTTGGAGCTCAGCAGGAGAGTACTAGCCTTGCATGTGTGCGAGATCCTGGATTTGATTCCCCCCATGTCTATACCCCAAATCAAGTTATGTGCATGGGAGAGTTCACCACCAGTTCCTGTGTGCCCTTGGTGAGGGTGACCCCTACAGTTTGGCTGTCACCTGCCCGCTCCCAGGTTGTACTCTGTGAGCACTGGTAGGTGTCCTTCTCCTCCCGCACCTTAGTGTTGGGGAAGCCCTGCAGCAGGGAGAGTTGCTTACCCTGGATCTAAAAACAGGTCAAGTCTGAGCCCCAGAAACTGCCCAGACTCATGTCAGAACTGGAGCAATAGTACAGTGGGGCAGAGCATTTACCTTGTACACAGCCAACTGGGTTCGAACCCAGCATCACATACGATCCTCTGAGCCCCTCCAGGAGTGATCCCTGAGCACCTCAGAGTAGGTCCCTATAAAATATCTCCGGGAGGGGGGGGCCAGGGGGAGGCCCCCACAGCTCTTCCCCTAGCCGCCTGCATTTGGGGTGGGCCCCAGGCCACTCCCTCAGCCGGAGTGGCCCGGGTCATGGGGCAGATGGTGGAGGAAACAAGGGCCCGTTTATTCCATTCTCCCCAAGCACCTGCCCCAGTCTCTCTGAGCCTCCCATTATAGTCTCACACTTCCCTCATTCTCATCTCCTTCTGTCTCTCCCGCTCATCTCTCCAAGCTCCATCTCACAGCCTGGGCTCTCTCTCTCCATGTGCTTGCTCCTGTATTCTTCTACATTCTTCTCTTTCTATCCCCCTTGCTAGCCTCTCCGTGGTCCATTTTGTTGCCCTGCTCTCTCTCTCACCCCTCCAACCCTCTTATCTCTCCAACTCCCCAGCACTCTGGGCCGACACTGCACCCAGTTTGGTAGTCAAATCAACATAAGAAAGCCCTTCCTGAGGGCCCACCAGGTTCAAAGGAAACACCACCTAAGAGGTATTCCAAAGTCCTTCCTGACTGCCCAAGGGCAAAATACCTCTTAAAGTATTCTCCTTTCCTCAGTCCAATAACTTCAACCTCTTAATACTAGTTATTTTTGTATGGACACAGTAAAAAATAACATTGAGGCTTGTAGAGCAGCTCTCCTGGGAACATCTTGCCATAGACTCAGACTACAACGCTCAGGTCAGATTAATCATTCCTAACCCTAGCAGGGTTCGAATCTAGTTATTACTTTTTGGACCATGACAGCATTTGTCCATGACCAAGCTCTTAACTTATAGTTAAGCATTATGGCACTTTGGCCAGGCCCATCTCGATGCCAGGGCAGCACATAGTTTACCGCTTGCCCTGGTTCCATCCAGTCCCTCGTCAGGACCTTGCTTTTGGGGGCGCTAGGAAGTAAGGGCAGCTGAGGCTTAAGTCAAGAGAGAACAGATGCCCAGGAGGAAAATAACACTGAGAGTCACATTACAAAAGCATAGTATTTACTGTCTTCTTGTGTCCATACAAAAAGTACATTGCTCTGAATAAACTACAGACTTAGGGATAAGAAAAAAACAATATTTACAAGTAAATGCAACACAAAGAAAGAAGTTACAAATAAACATGGAGGAATGGGAGGACTGTGATGGGAGTAACCCAATAAACCTAAACTACCTGAGGAAGGACCAAACAGTGTTATCCTACAGGCCCCCAAACCAAAACAAACAGAGACAAAGGAGCTTGTTGCTACATCAGTGGCTGCAAGCAGAATTGTGTCAGAGGCCGAGGGATGGAGCACAGGTTTGCCTTGGGGAACCCTGCACCACAGGACCCCCACCCTTACTGGAAGGGACTCCCAGGCACCCCTAAGTGTGACTCAAGTAGCCAAAACTGTGACAGAGCCCATGTGAAGTGTGTCCTGGGAACCCCAGCCCTGGGCCCCACAGCTGCTGCTCAGCTCAGCCTGTGCTCTGCGTCATCTCCCTCCCAACCGGGGGGCTGCAGGGACCAAATGGAATAACTTTCAGACAAGCTCCAGGCACGATCTCAGGCTCTGGTGTAGCAGGATCATCTGTAGACTTAGGCCCTAACACATGGTGGGTCCCGTCCATATACCCAGGCATTCAGGGTAGAGCCTGGGGAAGAGCATTCATATTGTTAGGGGTGGGGGAAGCTCCTAAAACTCTGGTGTTCCCAGGACTGCTCCAATGATGCTTTGCCAACTGGGGATAGCAGTTCGCTGCAAGTACCATAGGATATGGTGCTCCTGAGAGCCTTGTGGAGCCAGGAGACCAGGGCTGCACCCGGCAGTGTTCTGGGGCCATGTGATGCAGTGAGAGCGCCCTGATTTCTATGCTGTCTCTACACTGGACCGTGTGCACTTAACCAGCTCTCTGGGGATGCTGAAGCGGTGTCTCAGGAGTCACATCTGTCAGGAGAATCACTGAACCACCTCCTTCAGGAGAATTACTGAACCATGTCCATACCGGACCACTCCTGTCAGGAGAATCATTGAACCACCTCCATCAGGAGAATCACTGAACTACCTCTGTTAGGAGAATCACTGAACCACCTCTGTCAGGAGAATCATTTGACCACTTCTGTCAGGAGGATCACTGAGTGGTTCATTTCCGCACCTGAGGCCAGAATGAGAGCCAGATTCCATTCAGTTCCTGGTCTGGGTCTGAACCCAGAGCTTTGCACATGTGAGGCCTATCTACTACTGAGTTCCTGCCCGGAACTGGCACTTTTCTCTCTTTTCTTCGACGGGGGAAGTCTCGGACCAGTTCTTGGCAAGCTGGGCCAGTGTCAGTACAAGAGCCTAAGGATGGCAGTGTTGCTGGCGCTACTCAGGGGCCTCCAGCAGCCGTGATCAGGGCACTGTGTGGTTGCGGTGGGTGGGGAGGCAGCATGGATTCTGGGTCAGACTCATGCAAGGCAAGTGCCTTAACCCCTGTAGTAGCTCTCTGGACTTCTCTCTCTCTCTCTCTCTCTCTCTCTCTCTCTCTCTGCTGTGGTACCAGGGAGCGATAGCACAGCGGTAGGGTGTTTGCCTTGCACGCAGCCAGGTTCGATTCCTCTATCCCTCTCGGAGAGCCAGGCAAGCTACTGAGAGTATCTTGCCTGCACAGCAAAGCCAGGAAAGCTACCCATGATGTATTTGATATTCGATATACCAAACACAGTAACAAGTCTTACAATGGAGACGTTACTGGGCCTGCTAGAGCAAATCGATGAACAACGGGAGGACAGTGATACAGTGATACAGTGCGGTACCAGGGATCATCATGCAGTCTAGATGCCTCCCCCCTCTGGCTTGCATTGCAGAGGATCTGGATTGGGTAGCATGACCCAACGTTTACCTGAGAACAAACGACTGGC